CCACTTACCTTTGCCCAGGTGCCTGGCTTTGTCTCCATCCCGCAACTCCAGGGCTTCGTAGATGCCAGTAGATGCCCCACTGGGCACTGCAGCCCGGAAGCGACCTGCGAGAGACAGACAGAGAAAGAGAGAGACAGTGAGTGAGAGAGAGACAGAGAGAGAGAGAGACAGAGAGAGAGAGAGACAGAAAGGCAGACAGACAGAAAGGCAGACAGACAGAAACAGACAGAGACAGAGACAGAGAGAGACAGAGACAGAGAGAGACAGAGACAGAGTCGGGGTCAGCAGGCCCCAGGCCCACTTTTGGCCAGGGAGGGCACCCACGCCTCCTCCCCCCCTGCCCTTCCAGGTACCTTTGGCGGTGTGCAGGTCCACCTCCACCGTGGGGTTCCCCCGGGAGTCCAGGATTTCACGAGCATGGATCTTCTGGATCGACATCCTGCGGGGCGAGCAAGGGTGGCCATGAGTGGTGGATCGATCCCCTCCAGCTGCCCCCACCCCCGTTCGTGGGGAGCCAGGAACCGGCTGAGTCCCTGGGCTGATGGGCTGGTGGTGGCCGGAGGTGGAAGGAAGGGCACAGCTGCCAAGACTAAAAATAGCCACCCGCCCTTAGCTTCTCCTCCTGCCCAGCTGGGTCCGGCCTGGGGAGGGGGCAGCTGCGGGGGACGCTGGAGGGTCTCTGTGGTCCCCCAAACAGAGGAGGCGGCGTCGGCTCTGGAAAGGCCCCACTGGGGGACGTGGAAGAGCTACAGGAGGCCGGAGGGGGGGATCCAAGGACAGGGGGGGCTTCTCTGGGGGTCCCCAAATGATGCCAGGAATTGCGCTCCACCTCAACCTCCCTCTGGGAGAAGAGAGCTGGGGGGGGGGGGCGGTCCTTGTCCAGCTATGCCCCCCCCCCGCCGTGCTGGGGAGACCCCGGGGGAGGCGAGTGCTGCTGCCTGCAGAGCTGCCCCCCCCCCCCGTCCAGGACTCACTTGCTTGGGATCGGGGCTGGCTGCACCGGAGCTGCTGGCAGTGGCAGTGGCGGGGGCGACCGGAGCCGACCGGCAGCCTTTATGGGCTCCGCCAGGCCCGCCCCCCCCGGCCGCGGCTTAGGGACCATCGGCAAAGCGGCGCCGGCCCAAGGCCGAGCGAGGCTCCCCGGCCCGAAGGCGGCTGCCTCCCCAGCGCTCCCGGCCGGAGCAGCCCCGCCTTCCCGCCCGGCATCCCTGCGCGGGGCTGCTCGGAAGGGGCTCAGCCCAGCCGTCGGGGCGACCCCCGCTGCCCCCGGAGGGCCGAGGCTGCTCCCCTTCACTCCCCGGCCACTTCGCGCCGCTCCCTGGGCGCCCGTCCAGCGTCTTGGCCTAAATTTAGCCCCGCGAAAGGTCGGCGGGTCCCTCCAAGCAGCCGCTGAAAGGAGAGGCGGCAACTTGAGGAGCCGCGGCCGCTCAGCTTTCAACCCGGAATGCCCCCCGAGCCCCCCCCTCCCCCGTGGCGGCGGGGGGCAGCTGGAGGAGGGCGGGGAGCCTTTGGGGGGGGCTGCACCGGGGATGAGCCTGTCTGGGACGGAGCAGAAGGGGAGGGGGGAGGGGGCACAGCAGCATGGGGGATGGGATGCAGAGGGGAGAAACGGGGGGGGGGGCTTGGCTGGGGTCCGATTCCAAGGGCGGCATTTGGGAGTTTTCGGGGGGGGGGCAAATTTGCGATGCTCTGGCCAAAGTTGTAGGATTGCAAATCGGGAGTGGATCTCCTGAATCTCTCTTGCTGCTCACGACCCCCCCCCCAAACCCTCGGGGAGCTTTGCCCTGTTGAGCAGCTGCCTGGCTTTTGACAAGGCTGGGGGGCCCTTTCGCGCCTCCCCCTGTCAAGCCAGCCGTCCCGTCCCCCGGGATCCCCTCTGTGCCTCTGCTGCTCAGATCCGTGGGGGTCTTTGGGGGTCTCCCCTAGAGGGTCAACTGCGCCTCCCCCCACTGGGTGCGTGCGTGTCTGTGTGTTGCACACTCGAGGGGCTGAACCGTGCAAAGGCGGCGCAGGACAATCCCGCCCTGAGCGGCCTTTGCTCACGAGCGCAACATCCTGTTTTAGGTGAGGTTTTTTATTTGGCCTTCGAAGTGACATTAAAGGAAAGGGATCCGCAGAAGCTTCCACGGAACTACGAAGCCGGTTCCGTGGAAGACCAACTGTCAGCGGCCCCTTTCCTCTCTGGGCCCCCAGTCGTTTTCTCCGGGGCTCCTGAAATGGCTGGAGGGGGGAGGGGGGGCTTTCGGAGCTAACTTGGGGTGGGAGGGGAGGGTCAAAGAGAGGGTCTCCCCCGCCTCCCACCCCAGCTGAAGAAAGCGCCATCAGCCAGGAGAGCGAGGGAGAGGAAGCAACGGTGCCCCACCCACTCGGGCATTACCCAAAAAGTCACTGAGCCTCCGGCTGCTGGAGGAGAACCAGAGCGAGAGGCTGCCCAGGACTGCTGGGAGGAGCCCAGGACCCCGGGAGCCCCTCCCCACCCTTCCTGCCACCCGCACACTGCCCGGCATCGACCACCAGGGGGCGGCCACTGCTGCCCCCACAAAGCCCCCCCCCCGCCTGCACCAATCCAGCCTGTGTGCCCACTTCCCTGGCATCACCTGCCTGGCTCAACCGGCCACCCCTCCCCGGGCGCTTCTGGGTTGCATGTTTCGGGATTGCGCCCCCCCCCCCCCAACCCGTTCTGTGCGTGGCTGGTTATGGAAACTTCCTTCGGTGGCCGAGTTCCACGCTTCCCTCCAATCCGGGCAGAGGGAAACAGTCGGGGATTTCCAGAACTGAACGCTTAATTGAGGCTCCCCGCCTGAGCGCCGGTTTCTGCTCCTTCTCCTTCTCCTTCCTCCCCTTCGGCTTTTGCCTTTCGCCATTCTTTTATTGGGGGCCGTTCCGAGGCCTGCTGGCTGCCCTCGTTCCTCCCCGGCAGGGGCTCCACGTGCCCTTAAGAGGAGAGCCCCTCCCACCCCCAGCGCTTCTAAGCAGAGCAACCGCAGGCATGTCAAAAGTTCCTGCGTGAGTCAGGCGCCTGGCGGTCTCTCGACGGAAGCGCTTTGGGGGCTGACCTGCGTGATTCGCTCCTGTCCTTGGGGCCCCTGGAGAGGCTCCGTCCGGTCCCTTGCGACACTCGCCGGATGGGCTTTGTGGTCCCTGGCCGCCCCGCTCCTCTTCCCCTTTTCGGCTGCCCCTCCCTGCAGCCCTGCACGTGCCCCCCATCCCAGCCCCCATTGTGACATCTCAGCCTTCCCCCCCCCCCGGTTGCTATGACGCTAGTGCAGCAGTTTGCAGTTTGCTCCTCTGGGGTCAGGACTCCCCACATGCCCCAGACTCCAATCTGCTTCCTGGCCTCCTTGAGTTCTGGGTCCCCTCCCCATTCTTTTGCAGCAAGGAGGCCCCGGCAAACACCAGGATTCGAACCCAGGAGGCTGGGCAATGCGGCTGTCAGTTAACAGTGGGTCCTGCCGGCAGGCAGAAACAAAGTCAGCCTCTCCTACGGCCACAGCCGCCGTGCCCCTCCGCAGGCGGTTTAAGGGCAAAGGGGCATCAGCAGATCGGAGGGCTCGAACCCGCAGGAGGGAGGGAGGGAGGGAGGTTTCCACTTTGGCCCCCAGCGGGGGGCTGAGACATTTTGAAAGCCAGGCAGGCGGCTGAACGGAAGTGAGCCTCCAACACAGCAACTGATGCAAGCAGCCTGCGGTTTCTGCCTCGGAGGAGGCGAAGGTTTGCTGAAGGCAGCTTCTTCCTTCCCAGAAAGGCTCGGCGGAAAAATCCAGAACTGCAGCCCACGAGTCGAGCCCCAGGGCCTACTTCACTGGGGGGGGGGCTTTGGGGTGCCACGGAAGTCCGGCCCCTTCCGAGGATTCAGGAGCTGCAAATCCCAGGTGCCCCCCCCCCTCTTCCTGGAAGAGCAGAAAAGCCCCTTCTTGTACCTGGGGAGGAAACAGGCGGGGCTGCACTCCAGCTTCCCCCCCCCCCCCCCCAAGCCAGGTTTGCTCAGTCGCCGTTTAATTAAGCCAGGATCAATGTCCACTTTGAGAACCTTGCACTCTTAAGACGGACAATAAAGGAGAATCAGGAGCGATTCCGGGTGAACTCTGAGCTGGGTTTCTTGCAGGCGTTTCACGACCCAACTAGATTATATCATCAGTGCTGGAAAATGTTACTGCCAACTCTGATGATGTTACCTAGTTTGGGCAATGAAAGGCCTGCAGGAGAAGGTGCAGCTGTGACAGCAGCAGGGGGCTGCCCCCACATTGGGGCCGCAGGAGGAGGCCCCTGGCAGACCTGATGGCCTGGGGGGGGGGGCTTTCCTCAGGCAGGAGGGCAGCTGAGGGGGGCAAGGAGGGTGCTGGCCTCACCATCTCCTCTGATAACGAAGTGGGGAGCTGAAAGGAGTAGCGGCCCCCACCCCCAGATTAGCAGAGTGGGGCATGTCTGAGATGCTCAGGGGCACCAAGGAAGCCTCCGGGTGGGAAGCCAAAAGGGCCCCCCAAATCACGTGGGCAGGACGGCCTTTGCCAGCCCTGCATGGCAGACAAAGCCCCCCAGGCTCCCTTCTCCCCTCGCCCACCTCACGGGGGTCTCAGCAGCCTTTCCCTACGCGGGTCCTCCACTCACGGGAGACCCGGCTCGAAACCATCTCCCACCCAGTTCAGTTCAGTTTATTACATTTAATACATTTAATACATTTACACCCACCCACCCGAGCTGCCCCAAAAGAAGCTGGAAGGGGCAGCCGCAAATGGGGCTGAGCCAGGGGAAATTTTTTTTTGGGGGGGGG